AACCCGACAACGAGCCAGACGGAACCGCCGGACAAGGGAGGACAGTGGTGGACTGGGCAAGGACTGGGCCCCCAGAGGGGTCAGCCAAGGAGACTGGGACCGGTGCAGGAAGCGGTGTGAGCTCAGTACTGTCACGAAAGAAGCAACGGGAAGCACCTGAGTCAAGGGTGAAGGTGTGACAGGCCTCAGCCGGTGCGGTACCTGAGAGAGGAGTCTGTGTGGGTGCTGTACCTGAGAGAGCAGACTCGAAACCAGCCGGGACAGCACTGGGGGGAGCAAGTACAGGGGGTACCATACCAGAGAGAGCAGACTCACTAGTACCCAGGGCAGCGGGCTCTATACCTGGGTCAGGCGGCACACACAAGTAACAGTCTCCCTCGGCACTAACAGTCAATGCATACATGGCAGCAATAATAGCATCATAGTCAAGAGCAAAGACATCAACACCAGCCCTCATGAGCTCAGCCCAGCGGGGGCGCTCAACATCCGCACCCATCTCCTCACGCCAAGCGTCGTCAAGGCGGGAGAAGCAGCGGTACGGGGTGTGGAACCTCCCACACGTCTGTCCCTTGCGGTCACCTGTGCGAATGACATAAGAACAGCGGGCACTGGCCCCCGACGTCCCACGCTGAGCAAGCCACTCACGAAGCTGCTGGGTCGTCTGGGGACGCTGCTGCTGCTGGGAGCTCTGGCCCGAGCCAGTGCCTCCACTCCGACCTCCGCCGCCACCACTACCACCGCTCCGACCGGCACCGCCACCACCGCCACCACCGCCACCGCCGCCACCGCCGCCGCCGCCACTACTGCCACTGCTTCCTCCGCCGCCCCCGTCTCCACCACCGACCCCACTCCCACCAGCGCTCCCGCCACCGCTCCCTCCAGCACCGCCTCCCCCCCCACCTCCCCCACCTCCTCCCCCCCCAGCGCCACCACCACCACCCTTGCCCCCCTTGCCCTTGCCGGTGCGGCGCCTCCCACCAGGAGCAGAAGCAGCGCCAACAGACTCAGCACCAAGGAAGTCAACAGCAGCAGCAGCAGCGTAGGAGGGAGCGAGGGGAGAGGGAGAACACCCCTCAAAGATGGGGGTGCGAGGAGCGCCACGAGCAGCACCGACAGCTACAATGCTCTTTTCGGCCGCGAGCAGGTGCTCCTCTAGGAGGGCGACTGTGAGCTCAGTGGGACAGCGAGCAAGGAAGTGGTCTCGAACTGAGCGGAGGGTGTCAGGGAGACGAGTGACTATAAAGTGGAGTGTCCAGTACAGTGGAGGGGGGTTCTTAGCGCAGAACTCGGTGGGAAGGGCGGCACGCAGGCGAGCATCACTAGTGCGAAGGTGGGTGATAAGGTCGGCGACTGTAGTAAAGGTGGACAGATCGGGGAACAGGTACGGCAGCATGAGGCGGCTAAGCTCGGCTGTGGCAGGCGAGGAGTAGCGAGCGACGACAGCGTCGTACAGGGCCTTAGCGGATTTGCAGTCGCCAAAATGCTCTAGCTCAGCTAACGGCAGGTGACTGCGAATGGCTAGGCGAGCAGCTGCGTCACGAGTCTGCCAGTGGGAACGAACACTAAGCTCAGCTGTGGCAGGAGGGGCAGGCGCAGCACCAGACGCGTAGTCATAGAGCGACACATGCTCCTTGCTATCGCTCAGGAGGAACAGCTGCAGGTCATCTAGCCAAGCGGTGAACCGCACAGGGCGGCCCTCAGCATCGAACGACAGCACGCGGATGGAAGCCATAGCGACAGTGTGACAGAGTAACGCAAGCTGCCGCAGCAGGGGAAGGCGACAGTGCACGGAAAGAGAGCAGCGGGCGAGGCTGGCGCTACGGGCAGGCGGCGCTGCAAGCGGTCAGCGCGACAGGAGGGCGACGCTGCGAGTGGGCAGCGCGGCGGACGGGCCGGGAAGCGGGCAGCGCGGCGGGCAGGCGGCGCTGCAAGCGGGCAGCACGGCGGGCGGGCGACGCTGCGAGGCGGGCGGGCCGCGAAGCTGGCAGCGGGCGGGCGGGCGGGCTGCGAAGCGGGCAGCGGGGCGAGCGGGCTGCGATGCGGGCGGGCCGCGAAGTGGGCAGCTAGCGGGCGGGCGGGCTGCGAAGTGGGCGGGCCGCGAAGCGGGCAGCGGGGCGAGCGGGCTGCGAGGCGGGCGGGCCGCGAAGCGGGCAGCGAGCGGGCGGGCGGGCTGCGAAGTGGGCGGGCCGCGAAGCGGGCAGCGAGCGGGCGGGCTGCGTAGCGAGCGGGCCGCGAAGCGGGCAGCGAGCGAGCGGGCCGCGAAGCGGGCAGCGAGCGGGCGGGCGGGCTGCGTAGTGAGCGGGCCGCGAAGCGGGCAGCGAGCGGGCGGGCGGGCTGCGAGCGGGCGGCTCGGCGAGGGGCGCGCGAGGGCGCTAGTGAGGGGCGCGCGAGGGCGCTAGCAAAGGGGCGCGCGAGGGCGCTAACGAAGGGGCGCGCGAGGGCGCTAACGAAGGGGCGCGCGAGGGCGCTAACGAGGGTGCGCGCGAGGGCGCTAACGAGGGGCGCGCGAGGGCGCTAACGTGGGCGCACGAGGGCGCTACGAGGCTAGGGCACGGGGTAGCGTAGTAACCGCATGCGAGCGGTGGTGGGCCCTTAAAAAAAACGGTCGGTAGGTCCTAGGGACCTCCTGCTCTGAATACCATGTCAGAATCACTAGGCAAGAATGGTGCATTGAATGAAACAGTTGGGTACAAGTAGCAAACCCTAGTTGGGGTTGTACCCCATATTGGCTACCCCACTACAGCCTACCAACATATAACACATTACAATTTAACAGTAAATTGGCTGCTAGCTGGAGATTCTGCAGCAGTCAGGTGATTTGATGCTGCTACACGGGGGTTTTGGGGGTGGCAGCAGTTTTTCGACGGGGGGGAGAAAGAGTGCTCTCGCACTGTACCTCGCCAATTTTTCGACAGTCTCGTCTGACACATTCAACACGACCGACGCTCGCGATGACTTCATCGACATCGACGGCTACCGATTCACCGACATCTGACATCGTGTCAGACTCCCGCCAACATCGCCAGCGTCACTACCGTCCGATTCGAAACGACTATATCAACGACTATAATCCAATCGCGCATTCAGTTCGCCACTTTGATCGCGATCGTCAGATCGACGTCTGGGAAATTCGACGCCTGACATTCCAACTCTATTCGATTTCGCTTGGTCAACTGGCCAGCCTCGCGTCAGCTCGACAGTCAACGCTTTCCACACCGTCAGATCGGCTTCAACCGAAGATCAGCAGTTTTCACGCTACTGCAAGACTCGGCTACGTATAAGGGCACCTTATTTAGAAGGTGGGAGAGTGTAATGAATATACAATTCATTACTGTAGAGGCTGCTCCTAGCGAGGACAGCCCGAGCACTTCGCGTCAGTGTGGCTCGGCCTACACTTTCACACCAAACCAATTCCGAGTCGCCCATCACCAATCGCGATATTTCCGAGCCACGCACATCACGGGGTTCTCGCCTAGCACGTATTCGCCCTATATTTGCTCGCTTTCTTCGTTATTTCGTCACTTTGTAATCACATTCTCTTTATAGAAGTCTTTCGCGCACTCTGTTTAGTACAACTCATAACAAAGTTGGTTCATCCTTCGTACCTGGTTGGTTGGGTGTCCTGTTGACAGCAGATCCCAGTGCAGTGCGTCGATGCCAAATCAGCGACCTGTCAATCGCCACTGGAAACCACTGCACCAGCGACAACGATTGCACCTTGAAAAGTCGCACAACAAGATTCGACGATAACGTCGGAAGGGTTGCGTAGCGTTAGCACCATAGCTACAAACCATATTCCTAATTCCTTATTGGGTTGGTGTATGTGCACAACTCCGACTAGCCTAACATATCCTAAACCCTAAACCCTAAACCCTCCTAGCCTAACATATCTATAATCCCCCAAGGATCAATCAGAGATCTCTAGTGCAAGTCTCTCAACACACGTAGCCTACGAAGTTGAAAGATGATACTATTGGCGTTGAATAGGAAAGGCGATGTCATGCGTTGGGACGAAGTACTATAGGGCACACTTAAGATCCAATAGCTTCTCAGCCATTGGCTTGCGTGAATAATATGCCAGTTGGCTGGCAATATGCGAAAGATCTGGTCAGTAGGTGACAAAGGCGAACAACAAACAACCCAATAGCGGCACGTAGAGTTGAAGCCCTCCGGGCGATAGAAGTTTCTTTTCTAGTTTGTATATGGCGTTGCACGATTTTGCGGTAGGGAGTTGAGAGTGGTGCGGAATTTTGAATCGCTTGCTCAATTGTTTCGCCTAGTTGGTATGAAACAGGTAGTGTAGCGTCCATTCGTGAGGATTGTACACTTCTGTGTTACGGGGGCGAGGGTTGCGCCCGTCCGGTAACCGTTTGAAGTTTTCCCGCTCGTTTCATTTTGAATTCTTCCTGCTTGTAACTGTCTTCGATAACTGTCTTGTCGCTTGGTCTTTCGTCCTCGCTGCAGTCATCTTCGCGTTAAGGATTCGTTACTTAGGAATGTTTATTCAACTATTTCATATCGTAATAGTAGCTGCGGCGGAGGCTATAGGAGGAGTTGAACAAGGCATGGTAAACAGAAAACAAAAAGACGTGTCATAAGCAATTCAAATTTTGATTCCTGCCCTCTCGTCGCGCCAAATTTCGAGCTGAGTTGTACTCTTCAGAATTTCAAATCCAACCGTGCATTTGACTTGGCGTGACTTCTCTTCACGACAAATGAAATCTTGACATTTCTGCCTCTTCTCCACTCTCGCACGCTTCCTCTTCTCTTTGATTCCCACCGTAGGTCCCGCCGCTGCCGTGTTTCTTCATCCACCGTCCCAACTTAGCTTATCTTCTTTTGCTTTCCATTAGTCAGAGCTCGTCAAGATAGGCGCTTCTTAGGTCGATGTAGGGCGCATTAGGTCGTGGTTAGCTAACCACATCTGTGCTTGTCGTTCGTGACAGGAGGCTTCATAATGACTGCCGTGGCACCGGTAGGATTGCTTCTTTCGTCCTCAAATGCGCCAAACACGACGTGTGCGTCAAAATCTACGCGAGCGTTGCCGACGTGTGGTCGCCATGGTTGCCTTGGTTGCCTCGGCGTTCTGGACCGATGCCAAGCCTTCCTGCCCATTTTACGCGCGTTCAACCTTCCGCGCAACCTTTCCTACGTGTCACAAGTTAGCCTTCTCGCCGTGTTCTTCACCGTAAGCAGCGTGCGCCTGTCGTGGAGCCTATTCCCGCACAACTTCGCGAAGCCGGTCGCACTGTGGCGCGACGCGACGGACGGCGCTCGGCGCACCGTGCCTGGGCTGGAGGGCATCGAGGCGGACGTGGCGAGGGGCGTCAACCACAGCGGCGTTGCGGACCTTCCTACGCACAAAGCGGCGGCGGTGGCCGCGGAAAACGCGAGCCTATCATGGCAATCCGTGGCGGTGGGATCGGCGCCGCATGAAAGTCGAGCGGAAGTGGGAGGGGACGCGGTGCACGAAGGAGGAGCACGCTTTGCGCGGTATCCGGCACGCGGGAGGGGTTTAGTGCGCGCACTGGATGCGCCGGATTCACTCGCGGAGGGTGCAGAGGCGAGCGGAAAGAACGGGAGCGGGGGCGAGGGGCAGGGAGGACAAGGAAGCGTGAGCGGATGGGAAGGAGAGAGGAAGGCAGGGGGGGGGAGGTTTGGGAGCAAAGTCGCACATAGTCGTGTCGATGTGCGTGGAAACGAGGAGATGTCGCATGGAGGCGAGGAGGAATCGCAGAGAGACAAGGAGGCGTCGGAGGGAGGCAAGGAAGTGTCGCATGAAGGCAAGAAGCTGTCGCATGGGGAGAACAAGGGGTCGCATGGGGTCAACAAGGGGTCGCATGGGGTCAACAACGGGTCGCATGGGGTCAACAAGGGGTCGCATGGGGTCAACAAGGGGTCGCATGGGGTCAACAAGGGGTCGCATGGGGTCAACAAGGGTTCGCATGAAGTCAACAAGGGGTCGCATGGGGTCAACAAGGGGTCGCATGGGGTCAACAAGGGGTCGCATGGGGTGAACAAGGGGTCGCATGGGGTGAAGGAGTTGTTGGACGGAGGCAAGGAGGGGTGGAAGGGAGGGGAACCGGTGTGGAGCAGCAGGCCCAGCGAGGGTACCTTGAGAATATACGAGGTGCGTCGTGTGATGTATGACGTGCGTGGTGTGATGTATGACGTGCGTGGTGTGATGTATGACGTGCGTGGTGTGATGTATGACGTGTGTTGTGTGATGTATGACGTGCGTGGTGTGGGAATGGAAGGGTGCAATTACGGATGCAAGCATGGGTGCAAGCATGGGTGCAAGCATGGGTGCAAGCATGGGTGCAAGCATGGGTGCAAGCATGGGTGCAAGCATGGGTGCAAGCATGGGTGCAAGCATGGGTGCAAGCATGGGTGCAAGCATGGGTGCAAGCATAAGTGCAAGCATGGGTGCAAGTGCAAGCATGGGTGCAAGTGCAAGCATGGGTGCAAGTGCAAGCATGGGTGCAAGCATGGGTGCAAGCATGGGTGCAAGCATGGGTGCAAGCATGGGTGCAAGCATGGGTGCAAGCATGGGTGCAAGCATGGGTGCAAGCATGGGTGCAAGCATGGGTGCAAGCATGGTTGCAAGCATGGTTGCAAGCATGGGTGCAAGCATGGGTGCAAGCATGGGTGCAAGCATGGGTGCAAGCATGGGTGCAAGCATGGGTGCAAGCATGGGTGCAAGCATGGGTGCAAGCATGGGTGCAAGCATGGGTGCAAGCATGGGTGCAAGCATGGGTGCAAGCATGGGTGCAAGCATGGGTGCAAGTGCAAGCATGGGTGCAAGTGCAAGCATGGGTGCAAGTGCAAGCATGGGTGCAAGTGCAAGCATGGGTGCAAGCATGGGTGCAAGCATGGGTGCAAGCATGGGTGCAAGCATGGGTGCAAGCATGGGTGCAAGCATGGGTGCAAGCATGGGTGCAAGCATGGGTGCAAGCATGGGTGCAAGCATGGGTGCAAGCATGGGTGCAAGCATGGGTGCAAGCATGGGTGCAAGCATGGGTGCAAGCATGGGTGCAAGCATGGGTGCAAGCATGGGTGCAAGCATGGGTGCAAGCATGGGTGCAAGCATGGGTGCAAGCATGGGTGCAAGCATGGGTGCAAGCATGGGTGCAAGCATGGGTGCAAGCATGGGTGCAAGCATGGGTGCAAGCATGGGTGCAAGCATGGGTGCAAGCATGGGTGCAAGCATGGGTGCAAGCATGGGTGCAAGCATGGGTGCAAGCATGGGTGCAAGCATGGGTGCAAGCATGGGTGCAAGCATGGGTGCAAGCATGGGTGCAAGCATGGGTGCAAGCATGGGTGCAAGCATGGGTGCAAGCATGGGTGCAAGCATGGGTGCAAGCATGGGTGCAAGCATGGGTGCAAGCATGGGTGCAAGTGCAAGCATGGGTGCAAGTGCAAGCATGGGTGCAAGTGCAAGCATGGGTGCAAGTGCAAGCATGGGTGCAAGTGCAAGCATGGGTGCAAGTGCAAGCATGGGTGCAAGTGCAAGCATGGGTGCAAGTGCAAGCATGGGTGCAAGCATGGGTGCAAGCATGGGTGCAAGCATGGGTGCAAGCATGGGTGCAAGCATGGGTGCAAGCATGGGTGCAAGCATGGGTGCAAGCATGGGTGCAAGCATGGGTGCAAGCATGGGTGCAAGCATGGGTGCAAGCATGGAGTGTGGCACATGGGTGCATGGAGTGTGGCACATGGGTGCATGGAGTGTGGCACATGGGTGCATGGAGTGTGGCACATGGGTGCATGGAGTGTGGCACATGGGTGCATGGAGTGTGGCACATGGGTGCATGGAGTGTGGCACATGGGTGCATGGAGTGTGGCACATGGGTGCATGGAGTGTGGCACATGCGTGCATGGAGTGTGGCACATGGGTGCATGGAGTGTGGCACATGCGTGCATGGAGTGTGGCACATGGGTGCATGGAGTGTGGCACATGGGTGCATGGAGTGTGGCACATGGGTGCATGGAGTGTGGCACATGCGTGCATGGAGTGTGGCACATGGGTGCATGGAGTGTGGCACATGGGTGCATGGAGTGTGGCACATGGGTGCATGGAGTGTGGCACATGGGTGCATGGAGTGTGGCACATGGGTGCATGGAGTGTGGCACATGGGTGCATGGAGTGTGGCACATGGGTGCATGGAGTGTGGCACATGGGTGCATGGAGTGTGGCACATGGGTGCATGGAGTGTGGCACATGCGTGCATGGAGTGTGGCACATGGGTGCATGGAGTGTGGCACATGGGTGCATGCAAGGTGCCTCTGTGTGTGTCTGTGCCTTGCACTTCACTCCCTTGCAAACTTGCCCTCATCTCCCCTGCAATGCTGCCTTCTCTGCTCCCCCCTGCCTGCCCCCCCCACCCCTCTCTCGCCAGCGCACGGCGCATGGGGCGCGTGGCACTGCTACTTCCACCGCCTTGCCTCGCCTGCCTGCCAGGCCGCTGCCCACGCGACACTCACACACGAGGGGGGGGCGGAGGGGTCAGAGGGCAGGGAGGGCGTGAAAGGGGGCGTAGGGGCGGGGTGCAGGCCGCTGGCGGAGGTGGGCAGGGCGGCGGAGTCAGAGGCACGTGTGGTGTGCGCCACGATCCACGTGCGGACACATGCAGAGGTGCAGTGCGGTGATGGCGAGGCGGGCACGGGGCCGGGTGGACAACATCCCACTGAAGCTGCTGCTGTGTGCGTTGCGTGATGTGATGTGATGTGATGTGATGTGATGCGATGCGATGCGATGGGATGCGATGCGATGGGATGCGATGGGATGCGATGGGATGTGATGTGATGCGATGTGATGTGATGTGATGTGATGCGATGCGATCCGACGCGATGGGATGCGATGCGATGCGATGGGATGGGATGCTATGGGATGGGATGCGATGCGATGCGATGGGATGGGATGCTATGGGATGGGATCCGATGCGATGCGATGCGATGCGATGTGATGTGATGTGATGTGATGTGATGTGATGTGATGTGATGTGATGTGATGTGATGTGATGTGATGTGATGTGATGCGATGCAATGTGATGTGATGTGGCCAATGGTGTGCGTGGTGTGACCCTCGCCCCCATGGCAACGCTGAGCATGCTGATGGCCATCCGCATTGCGATGCTCCAAACTGCTCTCCTCTCACCCCTTCCTCACTTACTTCCTTCTCTCTTTCCTTTCACCCTCTTCTGCCCCTCCCCTCCCCTTCCCCCCCTGAGAGCAGGCTGCTGGGGGGGGCGTGGCAGCAGGTGGTGGTGGAGGCGCAGAGGGGTGCAGAGCGGTGCACAGAGAAACGGCAGAAGGTGAGTCGTGCAACGTGGGATGCCACTATGCCACTATGCCACCATGCCACCGTCCTACCATGCCATGCATGGAGCCATCGCAGTGCTGCTGGTGCTGCCATGCCATGCGCTGCACCCTGTCCATCCGCCGTTCCTTTTTCCTCTAACTAGTGTTGCCATCTCACCATCTTGTGCCATTATCCCATCATGCCACCGTCTCACCCGTTCACCATGCCACAATTTCACCATCCCACCCTGCTGACATGCTACCATGTCACCATGCTACGATATCACCAGCCACCATGCCACCATGCCATGCATGGAGCCATTACCTGGGGCCAATATGTCATGCGCTGCTCTCATACCTCGTCTTTTCCCATCCCTCGCCCACCCCCATGTGCACTGTGGCAGGCTTCGCTCCAAGGGTCTCCCGCCATGCGCGCGTGCTCTGTGCACGGTATGACCTGCTTCATAGATCACTTGTCTCTCCACCTTCCTCCCTTCCTCACTTCGCTTCCCTCCAACCCCCCCTCCTCCCCCCCCTTTTCTTTCTGCAGGTGCAGTGGTGGCGGGCGCAGGCGCTGCGCTTCATGCTGCGGTGGCCCTCGTCGTACCTCTGCCATGTGCTCAACCGCCACCGCCACCGCGCCTACGGCATGCACGTGGCGCGCGGCATGGCCACGCACCAGGCGGAGGGAGGGGGAGGCCATCCTCTCCTCGCTGCTGCTGCCGCTCACCTCTGCTGCAGCACTGAGTCAGCAGCAGGAGGGGCGTGAGCTGGCGGCGCTCAACTTCTCAGGGGGGGCCCACTCGGTGGAGGCGCAGGTGTGGCCGGGGCTGGGGTTTGAGGGGTGCGTGGCGCGCGGGCGCGGCAACGTGATGGCGTCGCGGGGCAACCCCCTGGCAGACTACTTTGGGGCCGGGCGCGAGGCGTATGTGCTGCGCCCCATCGTCGCCTTGCATGCGGGAAGCACGGGGAACATGGGGTGTGCGGGCAGAGGGCGGCGATTAGAGAGTCCACAAGTGCAGCGGCCGACAGGGGATGAGCAAGGGGAGAATGAGGAGGAACAAGGGGATGAGGAGGGAGGGAGGAGTGGGCGGGAGGAGGAGTTGGAGGAGCGGGTGAAGAGGGAGCAGCTGGCGGTGGTGGCGGGTGTGTTGCACGCGTACAGCCTGAGGCAGCACGACCCTGACCTCAAGCACGTGTGGCTCACCACTCCCTCGCAGGTGCGTGGGGGCATGTGGTGCACGGTGGCGCGGTTCAAATGCTTCACATGCATGCCAACATGCATGCCAACATGCATGCCAACATGCATGCCAACATGCATGCCAACATGCATGCCGACATGCATGCCAACATGCATGCCGACATGCATGCCGACATGCATGCCAACATGCATGCCAACACCCATGTTAACATGCATGCCGATATGCATGCCAACTGGCATGCCGTTTCTGCCCAGCCATCCATGCCATTCTTCCACCCCCCCTTCTGCCCCCCTCCCACCCTTCCTCCCCCTCTCTCCCCTCCCCTTCCTCTCTCCTCCCCTTCCTCTCCCCCCCCTTCCTGCTGTGGGCCCCTCAGGCCATGCAGGCCCACCTGGCAGCTTATGACGACTGGACCTTCCTCTACTCCCAGCACGACAACCAGGGCCAATCAGAGGCTGCCAGCATGGCAGGCGTGGTGGAGGCACAGCTGGCGAGTGTGCTGATAGCGGCGGAGTCAGACTACTTTGTGGGTCACTGGCCTCGCACCATGCCCGCCTCATCCTCGCCCTCAGGGCCACCAACGGCCGCCTTGCTGCACCTGCTGCTCTGCTGAAATAATTACCGGTATGTGCAGTAAGGTCTCGGTATTTTTCTTGTTTTGCTGGAAGTCTTGGTAGGAGTTCAAACAGTCTTCACATTTTCCTTGTTTGCCATTGTATAGATATCCTGCTTTGGCACCCTGCCCAGGGCGGACGTCTCAATCAACTCAAGCATGACGACTCTGATCCCAACCTCTCAAATTAACTTGGGCCTTCTTCAGAAATACTCCGAGGCTCTGAGCTGAGCTGCGAGAGTTGGAGAGATTGGTGAGAAAAACAGTGACGCTGGAGGGGGGAACTTGGTTGGGGCGAGGCCATGGGGTTGGCTGGTTTGAGCTGAGTGCACTGCACAAGTGGCATGGGGGAGTTGCTTTGCGTGCAAGTGAGAGAGCAAGAGGCTGTTTCGAAAGGCCGGGGGTGGGGGGGATTTCAAACTCCTGAGTACCAGTAAAATTAACCCTTTCAGTTGAGAGCGTGTTCCTATCAGGCAACCTCATATCAATTTCACGTCGAACCGCACTAAAACGCATGTAACCGCAGTCGAACACACTGAAACGCATTTCACCACGCGAAGCTGATACGAGGTGTTTCTGATACGAGGTGTAGGTGTTGGAAACAATGAATCTTAAGCGCCTCTGTCGTATCGAAGCACTATGGCACAAGCGAAACGAAGCATATCGAAGCACCGGCGAGTCAACCCTCGGAGGTTGAAAGTAACTGTTGGAGGTTACGCGAAAGTCAAAGGTCAGCGACCTTTGACCCGACAAGTACAGCGCGACAGCAAGGACACACAACTGACTCGCTACAGAGCAGTTGCCCGAGTCGTCACTGTATCGAACCGCAACAGCAACAGTAAAGTAGTTATAACTGTATCTCTTCATATTCCTTGTATCCCTATATAAATGCTTGTATCTCTTTGCTTTAATCAACTTACTTTGCTCTCACATACCAGCGCAAGGTGGTTCAAACCTCTTCATGAAACGCTTCCGCTATTACATTGTTCCTACCCAGAGTTCACCCCTGCAAAGATCCTCTAAGGGCTTTTCTCAGCCCAACATGGTATGAGAGCTAACAGGGGGAATTCAACTACTATCAAGTCATTTACAACATCAGAAGACATGGCAACCCAGAAAGAAAGGAGCTCTTCTAACGGCTCCCACGGAACTACCCCTACTCCACCTCCTGCCTCTGGCCTACAGACAGAGGAGGGCATGGCAACAAAACCAGCAGCACCTTCAGCAAGTCAACCTGCCAGCTTCGACCAGAGCATGATGGAGAAGTTCTTCTCCTTCATGTCGTTTTACGAGCAGCACCAGCAGTCAGCGCCTGCGCAATCGAACAACAGCAACAACAACAACGATGTGACTCCCATGAGTCTCGATGGCTCATCATACGCGCGCGGAAATCAACAGCAGCAACCTACCTTTGCTCCATACGAGCGCGGGTCCATCAGCTTTATGCCGCACCCGCAACCCTCACCTGGACAAGAGAAACCACTGGACGCGTTACAAGTTCAGTCGCAGTTCGCACACGTTCTGAAACTGCAGACGTCAAGACCTTTCGACGGAAAGGACTTCTTCACCTGGTCGTTCGAATTCGAGTTGATGATGGAAGGCGCGCAGATACTTGGCTTCTTCGACGGGTCCCTGCCATACCCAACAAACGGTAAACGGTACACAGTACGAGAAGCAGCAGTACACTTATCAGTCAATGATGGCGTACACGATTCTACTGAGAAACATCACACCGACTCAGCAGCAGAATATGCGGTCTTACCGGGGTTACGGCAACTCCGCGGAGCTCGCATACAGCCACTTGAAGAACCTGTATCAAGCAACAGACAGCGTCAACCAAAGTCGGTTAATGGCGCAATTGACAACGGTCGAAATGAAACCAGGCGAGAAGGGAATGGCGTATATCAGCCGCTGTCGCGAGCTGCGCTACAGGCTTCTTCGATGCGGAGGGTCAATATCTGAAGACGCCTTCGTGACAGTCATCATCGGCGGCCTCGGTCCTCAATGGCGCGCCACAAAGGCCATTCTCCGAGCCCACGGAAGAATCTCCGAAGCAGCACTCTGCGCCGAAATCCACGCCGAACAGCAAGACATGGACCTGCAAGAAGAACGACACAAGAGAAAAACGTCAGTACCGGAGTTCGCGTTTCACACTCAGCGACGCTACAACAACAACAACAACCGACAACAACCAAAACCCGTACCTCCGTTCTGTCACATCTGCAAGACGTCAGGGCACCCACGTACGCACTGCCCGAATCGACAACAGTCAACACCACCACAGCGACAGTTTCGACCTTCAAGCAGCCAAATTGCCTCAACACAAGCGAATCCCACGATCCAGGTTCAAGCTTCAACGACATCAACGGGACAACCTGCACAAGGAGCAAGGAACATCGTCAGTTGCATGGCAAGATTGACCGACTCCTGCGTCACTGAATCACCACCACATTACTCACCGGAAGAACAGCTCGACAACAGCACGCCCCGCCGCGAGTCACTTCAACCAAACCCGACATACGCAGCCATCGCCCAAAGCGAGCCATCCGGGAAGGACACGTGGTTCTTGGACAGTTGCTGCGGACAACATATGTGCTCTTCAGGACGCTTCGTGCAGCGAGAATACGAACTCCAACGCGAAGTCGTCATCACCGTCGCCAACAATCAGAACCTGCGCACACGACGGCAAGGCGTAGTTCAACTTCAGTCACGGGAGACAAACGTTATACTACAAATGACGAAGGTCTTAATAGCAGAAGGACTCGGCTACAACTTACTCAGCGTCAGCCAGCTGATGGCGAAAGGCATCCACCTTGAAGTAGACAACACCGCTCAAGCTGTACCACGGGAAGGGCGGTCTCTACATCGGAAAAGCAGTCCTGAAAAATAACGTCTTCGTTCTCGATTTCGTCCCAGATCTTGGCACTGCCGACAGTGACGGCATCGTCAGCTTTGCCCCTTGGACACATCCACCGGACCTTGATCCAGACTTCAGCCCCGGCGGCTTCTGGCATTCCCACACGATACCTGAAGCAGAACGAACAAGGGCATTAGCAACAGCAATAACATCAGCAGCAGCAGCAACAACATCAGCAGCAGCAGAAGCAACATCGGCAGCAGCAGAGACAACAACAGCAGCAGCGGCAACATCGACACCAATCGCTGGTCCTTCAACGGCACCAATCTTCATCGACGATTCGCCACCGACACCCGCACAGCAGTTAAACCCGGCACCACGTGAAGTCCACCGAAGCACCAACGTCACCGCCGGCTTCTACTCCAACTCCGATCTGTATCGACGATCACCCGGACATCGCGCCACTGAAGGAACCTGGCACGCAAGAATGGGACATCCAAGCAACACAGTGTTAAACAACACGATAAGAGCAGGAATGCTTGACAAAGACTCACTCCTACTGACCGACGGCAGAGAACTTCAGCGAGCCCGTGGAACGTGCTTCACCTGCCCTGAAGCTGACTTACCGCATCAGCCGTTCGTCTCGCATCACAATCCAAGCGCACCTGCGTACACACCTCTGGAAAAGGTGTACAGCGACATATTATACAACCGTGAACCCGGACAAAACGCCTACAGTTACACCATCACGTTCATCGACGCCGCGACACGCTACGTGTGGCATCTCAACCTTCTTAGCAGGGACATGGCCTTCGAAGCCTTCGTCGCGTGACTCCCCGTAGCAGAAAGAGAATCGGGCGTCAAGCTAAAGAGTTTTCAGTTAGACAGGGGAGGAGAATACACCTCACAGAGGTTCAAGCAGTACTTGGCAGAAAGAGGGATCAAACGGCTCATCTCTCTTCCCTACGCCCACCAACAGCAAGGTGTAGCAGAACGGATGAACAGGACGCTCCAAGCCACCATGCGCAAGCTGCTACGTGGCATGCACCTGCCCAACCACCAGTGGCCCGAAGCAATGGACCACGCCGTGATGCTGCACAACTTGCTTTCGTCATCATCGCTCCCGAACAACGCATCACCGCATCTGCTGTGGACAGGAAAATTGGGCAGCACAAAAATGTTGAGAGTTTTCGGCTGCATGGTACAGTACCGACCTCCATCTGCACGAGCTGGACGATTCTCTCAACGCGCACAGTGGGGACTACACCTGGGCATCGAAAAGCATTACAACGCATGGAAAATTTTCGACATCAACAGCAAGGAAACAGTAGCAGCACGTGATGTCATCTTCTACGAGAACCTCACCCTCGGAACTCACCTCATGTACGTCGAAGAAAACAGACCTGACCTCTCGGGCGGATTTCTTGGGAACCGAGCCTTCGCCTCGGCAGAAGACGAAGCTGACTGGGACGAGCAGAACGTGGAAGGAGCCTCGGAGGAAGCCGGACCTCTCCCTTACTGCTCCGTGGATGTCCCAATGGATGACGAAAATCCTCGCGAAAGCGTCAACGCCGACGTCTTCTACGACCTCGCCGACGAGGGTTACGTTACACCTGCACAAGTCAACACCAACGAAGCAGAACGCGTAGGACCAAATTTCAATCCTACACCAGAAGCGGGAGACGAAGCAGTCTATCCCGAGGACACCACACTCCCCCGCTACACACAGAGTGGACTCCAGATACTTGGACTCGTCACCGCAGTCCACGGCACAGCAATTCCTAAGGAGCCTGCAACAGTTCAGCAGGCTCTGGGGGGGCAGCATAAGGAAAAATGGCGTGAAGCCATGGACAGAGAACTGAAGGCATTAGAGGAGCGCAACACGTGGAAAATAGTCCCTATCGGCGTAGCACGAAACAAGACCATTCTCACCGGGAAATGGGTCTTCCGCGTGAAGACGAAGGCCGACGGAACCATTGACAAATTCAAGGCGCGCTGGGTCGTACGCGGCTTCGACCAAGAGCACGGACGCGACTTCACCGAAACATTCGCTCCGGTCAGTCGACACACGTCGCTACGAATCCTCCTCGCGATCGCCGCCATGAAGAAGAAGAAGCTGCGACAAATCGATGTCGCGAACGCA